CTCTCTCTCTCTCTCTCTCTCTCTCTCTCTCTCTCTCTCTCTCTCTCCAGTAGTTCTTGTCTAGATAAAGATAAATAAAATACAAATCCATCATCCTCCCCTCCTCAGGCAGTGGTGGAAAATAACCAAGTTAATTTACTCAAGGTCACAATTGAGACAGATTGAGAGATATGACCGCTGGAGGTACTGGTCACTTTACAATAAAAATACATATGATATGCTTATAAGATATGATGAAGCACTATAATCCACCCAGTGGTATATACCATATCCAAAATTGGCTCCACATTGACAAACTACAACATTAAAATGCTCTTCCATTTATTAGTTAATGATAAAAACTGAATAATAGAATATATTATTGTAATACAATACAGCCGTTTGGCACAATTAGTCAGGTTATTTTCCTTTTGATGCCTTCAGTACATTTAGCTGGTAATACTTCTGTGCATTTTTTGAATTCAGGACTTTTACGAGTATTTTGTGATAGTTTTACTTAAGTGGAGGATCTGAACACTTCTTCCACCACTGTCCACAGGTTTACCCATCACTGATCCGAAGTACTTCTCTCAGATGAGTGTGGAGGAGTTGGGACACGTCCTTCGGTCAGACAATGAAACACCTATGCCCATGCTTCAGGAGCGCCACCAGGTTCTGTCCCACATCCCCTGGCACTAGAGATATACCAATCATCAAAATCCACAAGCTGCTTCCATGATTTTATATCGGTATCACTATTAATACATTCGTGCCTTGTGTTTTTACTAAGCGTAGTATTTGACACTCCTGAATGCAAAGCTGACTTCTACATGAGCCCATGAAAACCCACTTATGTAGCACAAAGCGAAAGCAGGGCTTTTCAATTGAAAGACAAAGACAAACAGATGTGGTGAGAAAAAAACAGGATGTATCATCTCATCTTTCTGGTCAATAGACTGAACAAAGAAGGTACACAGCGTATTATTATATCCTTACATAGTACATTACATATATGCATATGTGTGTGGAGTCGCACGTGTTATTTAATACATGAAACTCCAACCTTACATACCATGATCCTTGACAGATTAGATTTTATTAGATAAATCCACTCCGTCTCAAATTTGTTTTGTCTTATTAACCAAGAAATACTGATTTTCAGGCTCATATAATTAATGTGGGTATCGGTGTTACATTATTAGCTGAACTGTATTCCCTTAATAATAGGTGGTATTGAAGGTATGCTGCTCTTAACCTCCTCATCGTCGTAATAGTTAAATTTGAACACAATGAATCTTTCTAACAAGGTGCTCACTGAAGGCGGCCGCGTGCTGCAGGAACATGGCGGAAGCTTCCGGAGTTTTATCAGCCAGGCCGGGAACGACGCTCGTAAAATGGTGGAACTCGTCGTGGAGAAGATCCCTTCCTACAGGGACGACGCTACGTACGAGGTCAGAGTTGGACAGGGCCTAGGGGGATACAGTTATGGAATATTTCAAGTTTGGGAATTTTTGGATAAGTTCATGTTTGCCAGAATAATTTCCCCATAAAACATCCATGACATTTTTAGATTTTTACTACCAGTCCAAGTCACACACAAGACATGACAATGATTAAAACATTTACTACATCTCAGGTACTAAAATAATTAGGAATTCTGGTAGGTGTCTATTTATAAACACACCATTTGGAGAAGAATAACCCAGAGGTGTTTTATCTTTTTAATTTTACAGAGTTTTTCTCTCAAATTCATTGCATGCACAATGAGTGTACTGCACAACTGTGGAGACGATTTGAATTCATAGTATTTCAGGAATATACAAAATGTTTAAAAACATCTCGAAAGCATAAAGGAAGTGTACGTGATCAAAGATAAATGTGTGCGTTTGAAGAACTTAAGATGAATTCTGATGTGAGAGTTCCATCTCCTGGCCACAGACAGTGTGACAATAATTATATTAAACAGACAGCCAGGGAGCAAATTATACTCTGTGCTCGTGCGTTGGCACCATGATTTTTAATGAAAAGCAGTAGATCGAGTAGCACTTCAAGTATCTAGCAGCGAGTGTCGAGCTGCCCCACTGTTTGTTTCAGGGGAAGAGAATCTCGTTCTACAAGCGAGCCCAGATCCTGGTGGCAGATTTCTGGGGCGTCATGGAGGCCAGAGGAGAGGGTGACATTATTGACATGGACTGGCTCACCATGTTTGCAGACTACAGGGTCCCTCAGGCTCTCGTCTACCTCGGAGCACTACAATACTCTGACGCACTGATGAAGGCGCTGAACAATGGTGAGACAGGAGTGTATGTGCACATGTGTCTCTCTGGTCATAAGGAAATGAATCCTTTAGAAACAGTAATAATCTCTCTGTGTGTTATGCGTTTGTCTCCCGTTTCTTCCAGGTGAGCTGCTGAGTTCAGGGGACAGGAGAGAGGTCGAGATCCGAGGTTGTTCGATTTGGTCTGTGGAGCTGATCAAAGACCGCCTTTGCAAGCTGGTGCACGAGAGGGACGGACGGACCTGCGACATCAACTCCGCAGTCATTGACTTCTACCTGTGGCCTTATGCCAAGCAGCACCACAAAGAGATGGCCCACATTCCAATACACCACACACGTTGTATTTACTACTGACGAGCTGGCTGGCACCATTACATACAGTAGGCGTGCAGCCTTGGCATCGTTGCCTTTCCCTGGGATAAAGCCAATCATGTCTCTGTGCCAGATGTACAAATGGGCTTCTACAACAGAAACAGGTGTTAAGCTTTAATGTAGCCCGTTTGTTTAAGTGGGTAGTAACACCGTTGTCCATTGGCAGTCAATTCAAATGTTTACTGTTGTTGATGTGGAACATTTTCTATCAAACGTCTCGCTTTAATGAAGAGCAAGTGATCATATACTGTATGTGAGCATACAATGATGGACACATTGGTGTATCTGCAGCGGCTTAACCTTGTGAACTGACACTCAGCAAACAGTGAAAATAAAATACGTTCTATACATTTTGTAAGTTACTTCTTTTAAAGGAATGTTGCAATGAATTTCTGTGGAATATATTTGACATCAGTGACTGCTTATCTTAAAGCTGTTAAGAAGATAAGCTCAATGTTAAGTATGGAAAAAACAGTATTTATGTAAGATAAAAGCAGCTGGAATGGATTGATAAATTAATATTCCAAAACTCAAATTATGTGGAGGAATCAAATCAATCAGCCTCCAATAAATGTACATATAATGTACAACACCTGTGGAATCAGTGTTAGTGACTGTACTTTCCCACGCTGTAACAAAAGTATGTGGATAAAGCACTAAGTTGTTACATTTGTATTAGGCTCTGTACAGATGATACATGTCCCTTGGAAAAATATCTTTAAATTAGAAAAATAAACATGGCAGCACCAAAATGTTCAATGTCAAGTACATTATCATTATAAAATATATTACAATATTTATATTTTTATACATTGTATTTTATAATGACGTGTTGTATCTATTTTTCTTTTATACTTTCTGGTGAACAGTTTAGTTTGTTTTGTGTATACATAACGTCGGACGGGGCGCTGTTTACTCTCCGGATCACTCGTTCCCTAACATGAGGACTCTTGAACGCGTCTCCGGCTCCTTTCCTCGACTGCTGCTGCGCCGCTGAGGCGGTTTCCTGGGCAACCGAGGAGCGACAACAAACGGGAGATGGGACAAAGTTAACAACACGCGGCGTGAGGACCGCAGTGACACGCACAATATTTGACGGTTTGTTTCGTTAAAATGTAACGTTAGCTCATTGGCTCACCATCACTGGTATCCCACCAGTATATTAGTTTTACACTTCGCCGTCATGAGCGAGGTCTGTGTCCGGGTGGCGCTCCGCGTCCGTCCCCTGCTTCCCAAAGAAGTCCTCCACAACCACCAGGTGTGTGTACGGGTGGTGCCGGGCTCCGCACAGGTGATGCTCGGCTCCGACCGACTCTTCTCCTTCGACCACGCGTTTGGACCGACAGCCGGCCAGGATGAGGTGTACGAGTCCTGCGTCCAGCCCCTGGTGGAGTCCCTGGTCGACGGCTACAATGCCACCGTCTTCTGTTATGGACAAACGGGGTCGGGGAAGACACACACACTCGGAGGGGGGAACCTGGGTACGTTGTTTAAAGAGCACAGGTGGTAGTTTGCATCTCAAGATTAGAAAGATCCAGAGGCTGGTTTTAAGAGAACAGAGATGCAACTCATTACTTAGACTGTTTGGGAGCTGCATTTTTTTCACTTGGAAGTGTGTTTATTGTGGGGGTAGAATGTATTATAGCCTGTCTGTTTAAGATGAGAGAAAATGGCATGTCAGCTCATCTTTACTGTTTGTTTTAGCGGATCTTTGTAGTCTAATGTTTCACTGGTCTTTGCAACATTTTGTTAATGTTTTTGTTCCTTCCAAAACCCCAGATGAAGAGGGAGGAATTATTGACTGTGTGGCCGAGGATTTGTTCTTGTTGCTGGGGGAGAAGAGGAAGAGCGGTGATGGTGTGGAAGCCACAGTGCGGGTGTCATACATGGAGCTGTACAGGGAGGAACTACGAGACCTGCTGGAGCTGCACACCATTCATAAAGAGCTTCATATCAGAGAGGATGAGAGGGGAAACACAGGTAACTAAAAAAGTATTTGTGCTTCCAAAAGCAAATGTGACAAAGTATTATTTTTTGTTTCTAAATGTTTCACATATGAGGGATGTCTCATGTCCTTAAACAAAGGACATGAGACTTTCAGGCATCACAGAAGGCCAAGTTTGCCACTTGTTTGGACCTAGTGAGTTTGTACATTGGATTACTGCCCACTGGGGAAAGTAAGGTTAAAGAGCTTCACTAGAAAATACCATTGTGTGGTTTTGTTTGTGTTTTCAGTGGTGGTGGGAGCCAAAGAGATGGTTGTCACCTCAGCAGAGGCGCTACTAAGTGTTCTGGAGACAGGCAATGCGCTGCGTCACACTGGTACCACAGGGATGAACGAGCACTCCAGTCGCTCTCACGCCATCCTCACCCTTCAGCTTATCCAGTGTTACCACAGCCACAACTCCTCCTTACAATCCGTCCGCTCTTCCAAACTCTGTTTGGTTGACCTAGCAGGCTCGGAGCGTGCTGGAAAAACGGGAAACACTGGAACACGTCTCAAGGAGTCTGTTCTTATCAACACGGGCCTGCTCGCACTGGGCAACGTCATCCGCGCCCTCTCTGACCCTGGTCGAAACCGCCACAGTGCACACATACCGTACCGTGATGCCAAGATCACCCGTCTCCTCCGTGATTCATTGGGAGGCACTGCCCATACGCTGATGGTGGCATGTGTAAGCCCCTCTCACCACAGTGTAGCTGAGACTCTGAGTGTCCTGCAGTTCGCGTCCCAGGCCCGTCACATTCGTAACCGCCCTGGAGCTATATCTACTCATACAGAGGTTAAAACATGTCCCACAACCTGGGACCCTGGTGAGGCTCGCCTAGGCGAGCTTGAGTATGAAGTACAGACACTGAGAGAGCTACTGAAAGAGAAGGAGAGAGAGATGGAAAGGGAGAGGACAGTTGGAAGAGCTGGAGAAGGGGACAGCATCAAACAGCCCAGTCAGATGAGGATGTCTGGTCCAGATAAGAAGGTGAACCAAGTCACACTGTCACAGTACCGTGTCCTGGCACAGGAAGCTGCTGCCCTGCTGGCAGATGTCCCTAACCCCACTTCAAGTCATTCTTTCAGACAGCGGCTGCAGGATTGGCAGGACAGACTGACGGCTGTCAATCACTCACATCAAGCTGATGAGGACTGTTCAGAGGGGGGTGGAGATCAACGCCACCACGTCACCATATTAAAGCTCAGAGAGGAACTCAGCAAATGCAAGGTAATGATAAGAAGGGGATCACAAAGGTCACAAAACATTAATAAAGGCTACATTCCATTAAGGTTTGCCAGTGTAGTCAGGGACCTGCATGCTGGCACACCTGTATGGAATCAGGCCATCCTAATGTTATTAGTTACGCCTGTGTTGTTTTTTTCCTTTTATTACAAGATCACATGTCCTTAATCGCCTAAGAGAAGACCATACAATCAAAACATGGACAATTAAGCTATTTTGACTTTAAAAACATAAAAAAGAGGGCCTTTGAACTTTGGACTTTAAAAACACTCTCTCTGTCTGTCTCTCAGGAAGATCTCGCCGTAGAGGAACATCTATTGGAGCAGAAAGATGCAGAGCTGAGACAGGTTCAAAAAGAAGTAGAGAAACTTCTTCAAGAGAGAAAAACCCATCTTCAGGCCTTGGAGGAGGAAAAGGAACGTACTCGTATACAAGTGAGGAGAGGAACTCTACCACCAACACCATTCTAGTGTATCTGCAAATAAAACATCTGTGCACACATTTCTGTGTAAATGTTTTCAGACTGAACAACTCGTGGACCAGCAGATTCTGATCAACCGTCTTCACAGCGACCTTTTGACCTTTAGGGGTGCAACCTCAGGGGCAACTGTGGAAATGGGGGCTTCTGCGAACTCGGGCAAGAGACCCCACAGTGTGCCTCTGATCAGACGCAGCTGTGGGCACGGACCTCCCAGGAGGGTGGGTAGCTGCACTGTTTTGTTCTGTGTCTGTGTAATTCTTTGTGTGTTGTCCCGGTTGCACTTGACATTTGCTTGTGACTTTGATTGAAGTGAGTACCAAACGATGACGCTACATACATTGACATGTTCATGGCTGTGCATCTATCTGTCCGAACGCATGTGTGTTTTTAGATTCACTCCAGTCCCCCAGCCTATTCACTGGAGAGGGTGATGGCAGCCTTTAAGATGCGCAGTCATCTCCTGCTGGCTGAGATTGAGGAGAAGGATGAGGTGTACTGTCCATTTGTAAAACAACACGCAGAGAGCAAAGATGGGGATCAAGAGAAGGAGGAGGAGCAGGAGGATTTCTTCATGGGAAGAATGGGATTTAGGTGAGAGCCTGTATAATACAAGCCTACTGTCTTTGTCAAGCCACCAGTGATTCACCGCAACAAATACAATTTCAGCTAATAGGTGTGGAATCATTTATTCCTCACCTGCTCTCGCTTTGTAGAGCAGTGACCTCTATGCACCGAAATTGGAAGAGAGGCACAGTGGAGGGCTTTTCATTGTCACTCCAGTGACAATACAATTTTGGTGCGAAGGATGACTGCATTTTGTGACAGGTCAGCCACCTGCCTGTTCAGACGAGGTCACCAAAACACTTGTCATTTTAGTTGGTGCACACAAGTCACACAAACCCTGCATGTGATGCTTTTCACTGTCACCTTTTTTGTACAGTACACGTTTCAACTAGTAGAAACATTTGAATCAGCAAACACGCTGTTTTAATTCTGGTCATCTCTGGCCATCTGTAGCCTGCAACTTTAGTCCTGCAGTACAATGCACTACACACGCCATAGACAGTGCAGCTAATTCATTCAAATGTGTGCAACCAGCACCAAGCTGATGCAAAATACTGTTTCTAAATAACCACACCAATATATGTGCCCTTGTGTTGATCAAACTGATATAAGACCTGGTCTTGGTGTTCCTCATAGCCATTTCATGCAGTGCATTGGGCATATAGGAGATGTGACATCCCTCAAGGCGCGTGCTTGACCTCCATCTCACACACATCAATAGTCTTTCATTCAGACAATCTGTTGTCTGAATGAAAGTGAGTTGATCTGAAATGATCTGCGTAATGAAATGTTGTGACGTTACTCCAGGCGTTCTTTAAACCGAACATGGACCAGCCGGCAGAAGAAATCTGCCGTGAAAGAGAATAACTCTGGACTAGACCAAACCTCTAATGGAAATCCATCAGCACAACAGCCTCAGCGAGCCACGGGTATAATTTACATGTATTTGACTCTATTTCATAGTCTGTTGTTTCCTTGTCCTTTTGTCTTGATTAATTAAGGCATGCTTTCATGTCTCAGAGCTCTTCTGTGATTTATGAAGAAGTTATTTCATATAAAAGAAGTTGTTTCCTTTTCATATTGTCAGTTGCTATTTCTTCTCAGGGACCAAGGAAAGCCACGCCACGCAAAGCCATGTGAGGAAGGTGAGACTTAGAGCCAGCGTTACTCAGAGAAGGATCCAAGATCTGTCCGTCAACATGCGCATGAAAGAGGAGCTCATCAAAGAGCTTGACAAAACTGGTGGGTCTATAGAAAAACACACTGTGTGTTCCTGCATTCCTGTGTCTGTTGGTTTGTAGTTTTTCTCAACCGGGTATAGTGAGTCAACCACAATGGCAATTTTGGCCTTATTTCTTTGGGTTAGCCAAGGTTGGTCAAAACATTCCTGCAGTACTGATTAGAACTTTGTTCAGCTTTCAGAGACTTCTGCTATGTGAATTGAGAAATTCAGGGACGACAACAGCAACACAGAGGAAGACTAACTGTAATGCTGATGATATTTTAGCAATACATACACGTGACTTGATTAGAATCCTGTACTGTTTACAATGGGCAGGCTACTTCTTATTTCACCTTAGATCAACTGGGCTTTTGTACTGAAGCTCAACACCAGTGAATCATAACAATAGTTTCAAAACCTTTGACCTTCATATGAGCATCTCTAAATGTGTGTATTTGTCTGACAGACAAGGAGACCCAAGCAGCGGACAGACATGGAAGGCACTGTGGTGATGGCAGAGAAGCCAGCGTGTTGGCAAGCCTTTCCATGCAGAGCCAGCAGGTCCGAGCGGAGATGTACCGCAGCCTGCAGCACATGAGACTGCAGAGAGCACATCTTCAAAGCAGCCTCGGGCAGACGAGAGACACCAACACTAGCAAAGAGCTGGACCAGAATGGGGTTAGTCGTACTGATTGATGAACCCAGAAAAAAACACTACGACAGTAAAATGGGAAAAGAGATGAACATGTTAAACTACAATTCAGTCTACCCGGGTCCAAATTAAACCTGGCTAGAAGTATGCAAGTCACCCACACACAACATCTCAGTTGAGTTGAGTTAGACTCATTGGGAAATGCAAGACTGAAAAGATGTAATAGTTGACACGCAGCATGGGTAAATCATTCAGTAAATGATTTGGGTTTTGTTTATAGGAGCAAAGGGCAGGAGTTTTGACTGTATGCAAAAGCAATCACCTGGAAGAGTTAAAGGAAAAGGTAAATATGGAAGCAGTATACATTCTTAAAACGTTTTTATTTTCTTTTTTTTACCTCATTGTCATTGTCTTCTTATCTTAATTCCTCTGTCGTCCTCCTTTACGCCGTCCCCCTCTCTGCTCCCCTCTTCCATCCCCATACGCCTTGCTCCTTCTTGTCGTCACCGTAGCTGCATGACTGCGTTTGGCTAGAGGAGGAGGAGGAGCGGGTGTTTCAGAAGAGAGCAGAGCTGCATGAGCTGGAGGAGGAGCTGAGGAGGAGAGAGGAGGTGCTCCTGCGCAGAGAGGCCTGTCTGCAACAGAAAAGCAAACTGGAGATCAAGATGCTCCGCTCCAGTCAGGTCAGCCTGTACATATGGTGGTGCCCCTGTGGGATTTTTGTGTTTTGTATAATTTAGAAAATACTGTGAAGTCTGTTTACCAATGACACTTGTTGATCTGGGCAACACGTGTTGTTGAAGCTGGAATCTGGAAGTTTTTTATCAATGGCTTTTCAGGCTCTCAGTCGGGACCTGCTGCGTGTGTCTGTGCGGTTGGAGTCTCTGGAGGAGCAGCTGCAGAGCAGCAGCGGTTTGAGGCAGACTGGAGAAGTCACCATGGAGGAACTGGAGAAAGAGAGAGACACGCTTAAAAAGAGGAGGGACACTCTGGACCTCCAGCTAAAGGACAACAGAGTGCTCACTGAGGAGGTCAGAAAACCATGTATGATAGACGTGATGTATGCATTGCACAGGACCTTATTTCATGATGCGTTTTACTTTTATTATTCATCGTTTTCATTTTTTTTCTTTTTATTTCCTGCACCGTGATGTGTGTGTGTCTTCATGTATAGGAGGAGCATTCCCTGCTTCAGCTGGAGGAAGCTATTGAAGCTCTGGACGCAGCTCTGGAGTTTAAAAACCACTCCATCCAGGACAAGCAAAAGAAGTTGTCAATGACAGACTCATCTTTGCAGCAGCCACAAAGCGCTGAACCCGCCCAACTCTGTGACATCATCAGGAAGCTGAAGGGGCTCTCACCACCTGAGGCTTCGGAGCTGCTCGTCAAATATTTCAACAAGGCAAGATAAAATGCATGCTCTCCACTCCAGTTTCCTTACCACTGCATGCATTTGGCTTTACTTCCTTTTACTCCATTTTCTATTACCTTTCTTTTTATTTGCGAGAGATTTAAGTTTCTCCTTTTCTTTTTCTTCGTTATTTACATTCACTTGCTTCTATCTCCAGGTGATGTTAGTCAGAAATATGGCTGCACTGTTTCTGTAATGCTAACTAAATTATACCTCGCTTAATGCTCCCTCCATTGTCCATCATCTTTCCAGCTGACTCCCTCCTAACTGTTTTGCTCTGTCCATGATTTTTTTCTCTGCAGGTGTGAGTATAAACAAAGGTACAGCCAACATCTTTGTGATTGTGTGTGCAATAATGTGTTTCTCTGCTCTCTTCTCTGGCTCCCTCCCACCTTTTTCAATCTGCCCAGGTTGTTTGTCTTCGTGAGGAGGAGCGCGGTTTGCGTTTGCGTTGTGAAGAGCTGAAGCTCCACGCCGGAGACCAAGAGGTGGCGCTGAGGGAGATGGAGGTCGCCATGCAGCGCCTGGCCCTAGATGCAGACCGCAGGCTCACCCAGCAGCACCACGATCACCAGAACAACATCCAGCTACTGCTGCAGAAACTTAAAGGTGAGGAAATTAGATCAGCCTGGATGAAGCTGTTTAAACATTTGTCCTATTCCTCTCCATAAGATTTCAACAGAAATTGAATGAGCAATGTTGTTTCATTAACTTTTCTCTCCGTGTGCTTGTGCGTGTTTAGAGGGTGGTTCAGGAGAGGCACAGCAGGCTATCGAAGACAGACTGCAGCATCTGGAGAAAGAACTGTTTTTCTATAAAAGCTCCAGTCGGCAGCTTAAAAAGAAACTCAAAGAGATTGTCAGTGACTCCCTTTACCCCGTCGATCAGCCCTCACACACACAGGAGCACCGACAAAACCACGATGTGCAGATACACGCAAGTACAAAGGAACCCCATACGCACAAGGATGAAGTACAGAGAAGGACACATATTGCAACAACACACAGAAAGATGCACGCTGAGCACGATTCTCATGTGAAGAAACATGCACACCAAACCTCCTGTCCCTCCTGGTCTTCTGACCTCCAAGCACAAAAAACTACAAAAATGCCCGAATACAACCAGGCGCACACACAGTCCCAGGGGAGGAGTGAAAGGAGGGCGGGTCACTCTGGGGACATTTTAGAGATGACACCAGTCCGTGTGTGTCGCAGAGAGCTGAGACAGATCTCTCCAGCTGACCTGCAGGTCTGTAGTTCTGCCACAAGTAGGCGACAGTATGTTGTGGAGACCAGCACTGAGTCAATATTAGAGGACTCCATAGAAGTGCCCAGAAACACTGACAGATGATGACCTATCATGGTACCTATGAATCATTTGGTAGCAGCAGCATCAGATTACAGTTGGGTACTAGTAAACAAAGGAAAATATGTGTCATCAATAACCAATCACAAAAATGCATTGAATATGAACGAAACATCTTCTCATCTTGAATAAGCCTTGTGAACGTTTCCATGGACTGTTTGCTGTTGCCTTGATATCATCAAAATACTGGTGTTTATGTAATGCATGTCCATATTCACAATATGCTAAAGAAAATGAAGCATCTATGTTAACTTAAACAAGTTTTGTTCTCAGTTTTTCTTTATAAATTGTCCTTTGTGGAACATGGTTATACTGCTGTCAATGTAATACCACAAAATAGTGAAACCACGAAAAATGTGGTTAATATCGAAATGTCATTCCTGTGAACCAGTTCAGTCTCTTGTCATTGCACTGTCCTCCTATTTATCTGTCTTCCTTGGTGGTCAAAGGCAACGCTGAATGTTGAGGAGTTTAGCCGTTCAATAAGAGAAGAAAGGCCAGCGCTGTCATGACAACAGAGTGGCCTTGATAAATCACTTGGCCGTGTTTTGCACTTGGAAATAGAGAGAAACTTACCATTTTGAGATTACAGACATTTTCTAAGCTCTTGCCACACCCAAATACAACACAGCACATTACATTTTCCATTGGATCTAGACAAGGACATAAATTAAGTTTTAAGACTGTTTCTACATTGTATTATTTAATTCAAAAAGCAGCACTTTTTAATATTATTTCTGTTGTCGTAAAATAGTAGCTCACCTCACGGTTATCAACAAGTGCTTCCACTAAATTGATTCTCCTCTTTTTTTACAAATACTAGTTAAAAAGATAAAACCTTTTTTAAATGTAATCAACTAGTGCCTTGGAGAAGTTATTTGTCTTTCGCCTTTATTTCCAGCACTGTTTAGCATTTAAAATGACCACTAGACTAAATGCAATGCTTCCTGCACTACAACAGTAATATAAAGCTTGGTAGTGTATTTTTATTAATTCAATTTTTTTGTATACAAACTTGTTATATCTGTGTGCACTCTGTGCTGTTTGTTATATGTTGAGTCTTGCTGTGTGAATTTTTTTTTTTCATGTGTGACTCTTATTACAGTCAAATGTATTAAACTTACTTCTATGCATATCTCACTGTCATGCCTCTATTTTGTGTGCTCATTCCCCATCCCACCAAAAGTATTACAGTACATGTTGCAGGCTAAACTGGGTTAAAGAGACAAAAACGCTTAGATCTGTCATACTTTTATTTTAAACGAGTTTACAGTTACACAAAGGGGATCGGATAGCAAAAGAGCAACGAGCGAATCACCAATCGCGTTTATCCTTTTTGGCCCCACCGGGCTGCTGTACTCAGGCAATCACCACTGATAGCAAACCCGACAATACCTTCACGAACAGGTGAAAGTATTCTCTAGCAACTTTTCGTGTGACTACTGTCTTTTCAAAAACAACCCAGCTAGTGTACTATAAACATAAGATTACCGTGAGTCCATTAATGTGTTTTTGACTGTCATGCATCGCTACTTTTGCACTTGTTTCGAGCTAACGAGACCTGCTGCACAGTTAGCTAGGTTAACTTACTGCTATGTAATGCTAGCAGCCAGTCTGCTACTAACTGAGCAGTTGACATCTCATTTCATTTATTACGACGACTGCTTGTTATGATTAAATACACCTACGTACAGTCTGTTGATATGAATAGAGAGTGTGGCAGATCTATAGTATGCATTTATTTGAAAAGAGCTCGCAACTAGAAGCTAACTCGTTTCACAACCGGCTTCAAGTTATCCCAACTGTATTGTTCTTTGTCTCCTTTTGCCCTCAGTGATTTTTCCTCTTTGAGAATGGCATCGTCTACAATGATCACCGTCCCCACCACCGCCTCCCGCTTTGCCCTGCTCCAGATAGACTCGGATTCGGACTCCGACGCCTCCGACGCGGGGAAGACCACCACCAGAACCGGACGGGACGGGAAGCCTCGACCAGGGAAGGCAGGAGCAGCCGGGGGCAAAGCGGCTCAGTGCAACGACAAGAAGAAGGACAAGAAGAAGAAGAAGAGGGAACAGCAGCAGAGTGAGGCAAACGAGGTGAGCGACAGGAGCATCTCGTGACCCTCTGCTTCGTGCATATATCTGTGGTATTGGGGAGAATGCATGGCTTCCGTTTTGTCACAGACACGATTGTTGTTTCGCTTCACCTGAAATGAAACTGCAGAGGATGGTTCAGCCCCGCTGTAAACAGATTGTGTTTTTGTGTTGCTTCCGGTTGTTTTAGAGCAGGTGATAAGCGTGTAACCAATGTTTAAGACACATCACCAACAACACCAGGCCCTCAGCAAGGCGGTGCAATTTAATTAATATGTCACATTTTACAACAAATAACTGATAACTGATCAATAAATCAATTAGTCAATCCACAGAAAATACACCTGCAACGATTGTGATAACTGATTAATCTTGGAAGTCTTCTTGCTTCTTCGATTTGCTGCTTTTCCTTGTTTTATACTATTGTAATAGTATTTGAAGAGGTCTCTTGGGTCTGGGAAAACATGAAGTGAATTGTTTTTGTTTCATTTGACTTAATAAATGGAATAAGTCATCAATTAGCTCAGAAAATCTAATGCTTCTCTTCATGCACACACATGGTGATGCTTTCTACAGCTGACAATAGAGCAATTATAGCAATAGTGGTCATAACGAGACACAGTGTTTGAATTAATCTCATATCTTGCTTTTCATCAGTTACGCAATCTGGCCTTCAAGAAGATTCCTCAGAAGTCTTCTGCGCCGCCTCCCTGCATGACACTGTCCGGGATAGCCGGTGAACTTCTCAGTCCTGCTGCAGGGGACCACAAAATGCCTGCAGAGGGGTGGCAGCAGTGGAAGCAGAGGGATGAGCAGGTCAGGAGCGACAACAAATGTGTGAGCTTGTGATCCATACAGCAGATAATGCTCTCTTCATAATTGACATTAATAATAATCCACAGTACGTCCGGCTGTTTTAGTAGAGCTGCTCAGAGGTCAGCAGTAGAGGGCTAGTTTTAGGGTGGTGTGCAGCAGTATCAGCCAGAAGCAGAGTGTTCTTAGAAGTGATTAACATGTCTTAGATGCTACTACTAAAGGTGTCGCGTCCTTTCTTCTCCTGTCACTGCAAACTTGTAGGAAGAGGAAAGGGTACGCCAAGTCTTGTTTGGATTCTGGCATTAGGGAAGAGCAGTCACGTCTGATTTTACAGACGGTAACAACCATTTGTCTCCAATGTCTCCTGTTTCCCTCCTTCCTCTGTAGATAACCTCTGAGCTTTATGAGGCTGACTTGGAAAAGGCTTTGATTCTAAGTCAAATGGATTTTGAACAAAACAAACCGGTAAGTTGCCCACACACACTTATATTTGCAAATTTGAGGCAAGAGGTACAGTAGTCAGACATATCTGCAAAATTGGACTCTTGACTTAAACTTGTCTCTGCTGAGTCTTAGTCCAGAGAGGTTTTGACTACACTGTCTTTATTTTTGTGTTTTGTAGAGTTTTATATGGCTCTTGATTCATGCCAGCGTCCCTATGTATGACATTGCAAGGGTTCCTCATAAGAGTGAAGTCATTATAAATATTCTAAATCATCACTCTTGTAAACTCATCATCTGATGAATCTGGTAGATTCTGGTGAATCCAATTTTATAACAAAAGACAGTACAGCATAGAGTCTCACTTACATCTGTTTTTTTAATACTTACTCAAGTTGTGTTGAAGTTAGGAACCTTAATTCTAAGTTAAAGTCAAATGATGTGCTCTCACTCAGCCCAAAGACACAAACGCATCTTCGCCAAAGTCTCGAGGAGGAAAAGAGGTCGGAGGGAAGAAGGACAAAAAGAAGAATCAGCAGGCAAAGGACAAAAAGACCGTTTCACTGCAGGACTTCCAGGCTGAGGGCAGTGCAGGTGAGAGAAGCCTATCGATCAGTTTCTAAAGCCATCAAACTATGATCCGGTGTGCTGCTGTCTTCAGCTCAACAGGCTCCCAGAATAATCTTCATGTCAACGCACTTTGTCTCTCTGCAGAACATTTGAGTAAGAAACAAGAGAAAGAGGTGAGCAAAGTCCTCGAGAACTGTACTGTTGTCAAATCAATAGAACATTTAGCGGAACATTATTTATTGTATTTGAATATAGAATAACTATTTAAATTGCCCGTTGATAATTTGTATATATATATTTTTGAAATTTATTGTTTGTGGCATATCCCGACTGTACACTGACCTCGCTCCCTTGCAGGACGCCAGAGTGGCTAACGTAGCGCTCGGACTCGGGCAGGAGGAGCGTTTTTTCAACAAGCTCGAGGATGACGTCACTCGGATTGTCCAACAGGAGAAGAGACGTGAGCAGTTCACCAACAGCCACGGACAGGAAGTCGTCATCACGACGGAACACGAACCGGTCAGTAGACGGGCAGAAACACACACACACACACACACATGAACAGACAGCTGTTGATATTCTGCCTCGGGTATCTACAGAGCATCAACAAATCTTGCACGTGTTGTTGAATTTTATTTGTATTTTTGTTTAGGTTCAAATTCTACAGGGTGACGAGGTGATTCTCTCTTTACCTCAGAGGTTCAGGGGGACGTTGTGTAACTTCTTTTTTTTGCTTCAGATTAACTTTTTATCATGTTGTAAAAGTTCCCATCCTTGATCTGATCAACAGTCACTTATCTAGTTAGTATTCAGAAAACTTGATAGAACAGCGACTTATTGGAGATTTGGGTGAATAGTTTTGTTGTACGGTGAATTGTTGTCCTTTATACCACATTTTGTTGGGTTATTTTGAAAAACGTACACTTTTTTGCCTTGCCATTTCACACTTTCCAGGTTCATACTTGTACTTTTGGGTTCCTGCTAGAACATGTTTGTATGCCTTAATGTTCAGGGGACTCTTTTTTTCTCAGACCATGTGTCTGAATACACCTGTATTCACATAAATGCTCAGCTTTATAGCATTTCCGCCTTTATCAGTTGTGAATTTTGTCGTCACTGCCACATTGTAGTATTGGATATTTATGCCAGCGTAGTGTAATGTGTGCATAATGTAATATTTCACCGGAAATAGTGTGCAATTCACGTACAATCGGTTTAATACTAAGGATGCCCGTGCTGGTCTGGTGACAGGCTTAAGACGGAGAGGGGAGAGCTGCAGAAGCAGGGTTGTTTTTTTTACCTTTTCCAGAAAACTGCCCACCCCGAGGTACCACTTGAATTACAATACGCTGAAAGTTTATTATGGCATTTTTGATCAATAATGCCAAAAAATACATTGCCTACCCCAGCTTTAAGTCTGTCCACACGGCTGCGTCTCAACATTTTTAAGTGATTTATTAAACGAATAAATCCACCAAGTGAAGTTTGTGTTTCCTTCCGTTGTGACTTGTTCTTGTCTACCTTTCCTTCCTGTTAGGATCCCCGAGCAGAGCAGCTGAAGTACGATCTGGAGAAGAAAGATGAGGAAATCGATAAACTAAAGAAGAACATTTCGCAGTGGGAGGTCAGCAGGCATAAGCAGATTCCACATTATTCTATAATTACACCCCGATCTTCCAGAAAAATGCTTAGAATTATTTTGTTAAAAAAAAAAAGAATATGTCCATCTTTTTCTGGATATAAATGCATTTGCTAGTTAGTTTACAGCCCTTTTAATGGAAACACAGTTACACAAAGTTACACAAAAATGTTTTTTTCTTGCTTCTCAACTCTGCAGGGGAAATACAAAGAGGTGAAAGCAAGAAATTCCCAGCTGCTTAAGATGCTCCAACAGGGAGAGAGTGAGTTGAACTACATTTAACGGCTCTTTTCTTTCCCAACGATGATTCAGAACGATCCGTCATATATTCATGCTGTTTCTCTCCTTCAGTGAAAGACAAAGCAGAACTCCTTCTACAGGTAGAAGAGCTACTACACATAAAAGAAGAACTGTCATTACAGGTGTGTTATGGTGGTATAAGGATTATGAGAAGAGGAACACGAGTGTGTGAGATGTTTGTGTCTTTATGTGAATTTGATTCATTTTTTATTTATCTAGGTAGCATCACTACACGGTGCCCTTGAACAAGAAAGGTCTAAAGTCAAAGGTCTGCTGTCAGAACAACCAAAACATCAGGTGAGAGTTCAAATCATTTACTTCTGATTAGTAAAGTCACCGTTACCAAGGAGGCATAAAAGAAGAGACGGCGCTACGTCGTCATATCGTTGGGGTACAACACGTGTGCAGGTCTGCACTGCCAAACGGCTCACAGGACATGTGGATGCTTGATTTATTCACCGAGCCATTCGCAGGGAGGGTGTCATAGTAGCCAATGATATAGGGGAGAATTCCAATTCTGCAACTATTGAAAATATATTTAATAACAGACCAGAAACAAATGCTTTCTATTTGAAATGGTTCTATTGTGTATCGACCGCCATCCATTCGATTTTACCCCAAAAGCTATGTCAGGCCGAGTGCAACCAAAGAGCACCTGAGCAGACAGACGCCCTCCATTTATGTCTTGTGCCGTCCGCTCAAACCCCCCAACATCACGTGTGTGACCGTGTCCCAGCCTTCATTCAAGAGACAAGTTCTCATTTCATTTGTAATGTATTTTTATTGACCCATAACTATGAAATGTGTTTTATTACTAATAGTTAATAACTGTGTACTTTCTTGGCTTTTCTGGTTGGCAGGGAAACAGGAAAGGGAAGAAAGGCCCAGAGATGGATCTATGAAGGTCCCAACTGGCCTTACAAGTCAAATGAAATAAACAAATTAAGAAAAGCACTGCTGATCATAATCAGGGTTCTCTTACCTTGTTCTTTTTTTTTTTAGCCTGGACTCCATGTCAGCATATAATGCATGCCCCCCCTAATTACACACACACACACACACAGAGAATACACTCCAGAGGCAGCAGGATGCATTACACAGCTGAACAAGAATTGCAGATGCTTTTAAAACTGATTTAAGTTTAAACCTTGTGTTAAAATGGTGGCCTGGCAGTTGGCACGCGGTGCTGCCCCCTGCAGGCACAGGCATCTTTCTGTTGGGTGTTGAATGCCAAAATGTTTGGTTTGTTCTTTCTTTTTTTTTTTCCTCACTGTTGAGTAAATAAAATACTTTTTCAGTGAAAAAACAATTGTCCTTTTTTTTGTATAATGTCAGAAATCTAAAGAGTTAAATGCTAATCTAAGAACGTTGAGCTGAACTACAGATACCCATAGTGTTACCACGTTGGAGGCATTTAAAGTAGCCTGTATACGTGTTTTGACGCTGTGAGAAGATGTCTTTAATGTGAAAGGGAATTTTAAGAGCGTAATCGATTCTTATTACTGATTTTTTTATGTGCTATATCTTTAAATTGACTCCGGTTTCATAATTCTTCGGCATGAATTAATTTAAGCAGATTACTCGCAGAGACACCCATGTAAGGAACTGTACATTATTAAAGGTACTGAAGATTATAAAGAGTTGTTTACACCACCCTGCGCAGTCGGTCAAAGCTGGTGCTCATCCACACAACTTTCTGCCGAGTCATCGGGACAGACGCGCACCGTGACTGCGCGCTCCTCCTCAGGTCCGCTCCTCCTCCTCATCGTCAGTGCGGACGGGAGATGTCAGACGCGGTGAAAGAGGAGACGAGAGCGCCCGGTGATCGTCGTGACCGGACTGAAATGATCCACGTCGCTGTCAAAACTCTCACTGAGAGCAAGGACTTCACCGTCACAGGAGGCGGCACCGTCAGACAGGTCAGGAGGCCAAACGCACTCACTGGTGCTTCATGCGTAAAATGGCTTGATATGGGCTTCAGCTGTAGTCTTACGTCTTTTGAGAAACGTGTGTCTATTGATTTTCATGCCGTGTTTCTGCCTGAGAAGCTGTGATGTGTGTATTTGTGTACAGCTGAAATGGGGTCTAGCAGAGCGCCTGGGGGTCCCGGTAGAGCAGCTGGTCCTGATGGACTCAGGCCGGGTCCTCAGAGAGTCAGAACTCCTGAGTCACCTTAAAGCCCAGGATGAGTCAGTCAGCCTCCGCATGATCCAACGGTACACAGACACCTATATGGAATTTACTTATTTGGTCACAGCAGGTAGACTAGAGATTACAATTTATTATGTGTCGGGATTTGTTTTAATAATGTACATGCAGCCTGTGGACTGTGACTTTTAAGGTTTATCCTCCTTTTTAAATACGTTACATGTTAATTTTGTGCACTGGGAGAGTGTGGAGAGTTTGTAAACCAGCACCACTTTCACCTAAATCATACAGTAAGCCATGTGCAATGTCACATTAAGGTAGAATATGAAGCTCTGCAAAATTTAGACCTGCACTATATTGTATTGAGGAAAAAAAGTCTGCACTCACTTCATGTCCTAACTTTAGGGAAAAGTGGCACATGTTAGTAAGTGTAGATTGTCCTGTTACGGCACACACACAAAAAAAATTATTTAAATTCAACCATAATTTTACATAATGGGGAAATCAATACATTCATATGCCGTATCAGTGTCAGACTCTCAAAAAAAACATCCAATATGACTTGAGCCCAATGCCTCCTCCTACTGATGCATACTCGGTTATTACCTGGAGCTCTAGATTCAGATTCAGTCCTTCCCTCTCAGGCCTCAGCATCCGTCTGCTGCGCCCACCTGTGATCCAGCACCAGAAATGGTCCAGTCAGAGCTCACAGCCGTTCTGGATCCTGACCCTGAAAGCTTCACACCCTCTCTCACCTCCCCCCTTTCTCTGGGTAAGAACTTCAGAGCACATGAACTCCCCTCTCCTCCTTTTTTCCCTGTCCTCTCTATGGGGGCTTATATTGCCGCTTTGGGTTGATCAGATCCTACTCACCTCTCCAGTTCCTCTACTTACTCTTGTTCTTTTGATCTGATCTTGTTTCCATAGTGGAGTGTCTGGATAGTCTCGGCCTAACAAACAGCGTGCCTGGCTTCTTCCCTGCACTCCAGCACCAGATGGACAGACAACTGCTGGCTGACCCGGAGATGATGCGGCGTGTCGTGGGCAGCCCCTTCGTGCAGAGCACCCTCTCCTCCTCCAGCCCTCAACTAACTAGACAGCTCATTCTGTCTAGTCCTCAGATTCAGCAGCTCCTGCAGACGAACCCAGAGGTGGGAGATATGCTTAACAATGCAGATATCATCACAGAGGTGGGTATAAAAATATGTTATGTGCTTATGTATTTTAGAAGTAAGACAGGTGTGTAATTTGAATTAGTTAAAAGGAGAAAAAATGGTACTTTTTCTATTTCACTGCGACTTGAAATTAGTTGCTTTCTCCTTGACTAATTTCTCCCACCCATATGTTCAATATCTTCTGCTCTTGCTCATCTTGCAGGTGCTGGAGCTCGTCAGGAACCCTTGCATGATAGAGGATGTGATGCATAGTGAAGACAGAGCATTAAACAATTTGCAGCCAGAGCAGGAAAACCCTGAGACCATCACTGGTGATTGTGATGGCCTTCAGAAGACTGCCGCCAAAAGACTCAAATCATCACAGGTCCAGGTTTCAAAATGATGTTTTCCCGAACTGTCTGTTCAGATGATGTCAAACTAATCAGGTGTTTTTCATCTGTTGTTTGTGGTGTCCTTACCCTCTCAGATCCAGATGGGAGCAGCCCCAGTAGTGACTGCATCACCTGGGACTCAACAGCCAACTGAAGGAGAAAGCGACGCTACTCCACCTGTCTCCGGTCCCTCCACAGATCCCCTCAGAGAACTGACCGCCACGCCCAGAGCTGATCCAAACCCTCAGAGCACTGGTACTGCAGGCACGGAAATACAAATCCACACAGTTTAACTACACCAAGAGAAAAAGTAGAACCTCATGGCCATATGCAAGCGCCATGCAGTAGTGGGGCAACCAAACCAATCTGGCAAAGGTCTGCTTTCTCAGCTTCGTGATGTATTTGAAGTTATTTTAAACAAACCAAGAAACAGGTCATTGTTTTAAATTGGCTAAACTATAAACACTTCTCCCTGCTTTTCTTCATCTTGTACCTGTGGTCTCCTCCCTCTTTCCTCAGGCATGCAGTCACTGGTGGAGGGGATCACAGCCAGTCCAGGACTGATGGAGAGCCTGCTGTCGGGGCCCTACGTCAGCAGTGTCCTCAGCTGCCTCAGTCAGAACCCTGACCTGGCTGCACAGGTGACGCATACACAATTTATGGGTGCATGCGAACACATAAACATGCATGACAGGAAACGCATGACAGGTAATCACATTGCTTATTTTCACTGGACATCTGCATGCAATTTATGTTTTAGGTTCCGTTATTTATGAGCATCTGAATTGCTGAATAAAATCAATCCAGAGGTGTGGAACCAGGCTACAATCCTCCCCTCCCCACTTCTTGTGAACACATACCCATAAATCCTACACACTCTGACAGGTGTCCTATGTCTCGTTTTCATACTGTTTCAGATGCTGCTGAGTCACCCTTTGTTCTCAGGGAATCCACAGCTGCAGCAGCAGATGCGGCAGCAGATCCCTCTCTTCCTGCAACAGGTGAGTTTATTTGCCTCACTACTAAACAACCTCTCTTCTTGCAACTAGATAACAGTATTATGACTGGACCAACATTAGAAACATGTCTTTTTTCCTACATAGATATCCTTAAAACAGATATTTATGCTGTGAGTGTTATTAATGATGAATATGTAGCTACAGAGTCCAGAGCTGTTGTCAACCATGTTGAACCCCAAAGCCATGGAGGCTCTGCTACTAATCCAACAGGGCCTACAGACTCTGGCTGCAGAGGCTCCTGCACTGATACCTACGTAAGTATAAATACGCACAATGAACACTCACAGTACACCGTAACCTGAGGATTACTCAAAAGAAGGTTGAGTTGCTAGTAGAAGCAGTACTTTCATGCAAAGTGCATTAAAGAAACCGTAAAAACATTTGACGAGTTACCACCATATCTTGCAGAGCCGGTGTTAACGATGCCCCTGAGCTGCCATCTGACTCTGTCCTTAACAGCCAATCAGGAAGTGGTCCTCAGGTTGCCACGGTGACAGAGCAGCAGCAGCAGCAGTTTGTGCAACAGATGCTACAGGCGCTAGCTGACACCAATCATGGGGTATCTCAGTGTTTCCTTATAACCGTGACTGCTTCTGTAATTGATCTGTACATCTCCTGGATTTGAAATGTCACCAATAAATGTAAATAACATTTTCAGGCCAAAAGTTGGCTGGCCACATCCAGATGTGACGTTTGATGTGGGATGTCACCTTAAAGCAGTCAAGGATATTTTAAACCATAGAGGCCAGTGCAGCTGGCACTTCTTGTCGAGATGCAATCTAACAAAATAGACTGTGTGATCTCCAGAGAGTCCTTTCATCTTTGAAACTCTATTCATCTGTTTGTTGTATTTATTTAAAGAAAATTAATTCAGCTGAGACACGCATGGAATTTCATCAAATTTTATTTTCCCTCCAAGAGGCACAAAACCTCTTTAGTTTGATGATGTTATTGTAATGAGTAAGACTTTAAATAACTCTCCTCAGGTCCATGTTGACGAGGCTGAGTTCCAGGACGAGCTGGAGCATCTGAGCTCAATGGGCTTCAGAGACAGAGAGGCAAACCTTCAGGTCCTCATCAGCACTGGAGGAGACCTCACCACCGCGATACAACATCTGCTCAGTCTCTGACAATACACACAGATGTTGATCTGTGCATATACATATTGCATAAAATCACTTACACTCAAACATAATGATATAATTATCAACGCTTGCAAAGTGCTTTACAAAAATAACACAGACATGCAAGCCATATTGTTATTGCTGTGCTTTCAAAGATATTCTTATATTTATTCCTTAACTCCCCTCACTAACCTCTGTCTGAAGTAGTAAATTATATTCAGTCTTAGTTCAACAGTCACACTCACCTTCGTACACTTTACGTGCTATATCCGTCCCCTTTGTCCTTTAACAGTGAGTACTTTGGGTTGATATTAGGGCAGAAACCAAAGAATACAATCACAGGTCCGTACAGGTACTGAAATCCACCTCACACACTGTAGACTTGTAGCAATTGCAGACATATTTAGCCCCAGGTGATGTATAATTCATCTCTGTCCATGAAGCTCAGGCCTCTTTTCATCTTGCCACCTGGACAATATTGAGAGCTTGTAACACCCAGAGACCGTCAGATGTTCTTAGAAGCTGAGCTCCAAAAAGATGCATTTCCCCGTTTATCACACAGGCACAGAAACTCTGATCTGCACAGTTGTCATTTCACTTTGTATTTATGATGGTTTCGTGCTTTAAAAAGCGTGTTATGTTTCCTCCAAGCCTCCCATGTTCACTGTTATGTTCACAGTTCTGTAATAGGGTTAACTGTACGCTTAATTCAACAGTAGTTTTTTTTTTTTTAGAGCTGCTACAAATGATCATTCTCATTATCAATTCATTTGTTGATTATTTTTGTTTTATGAATAATGTATTGATAATGAAATCTATAAAATGACATACAATAGGGAAAAATAGCGATCACAACTTCCCAGAGGCTCAGGTGACGTATTCCAGATGTTTGTTTAACTACGAGTCCAAAACCTGAAGCTTAAAATACATACTGTTGTACCCTGAGTTGTTGTAGTGATCAATAAAGCTGGAAGACAAACACAAACTGGTTTATCATCTTTGATTGATAAGAACATAGTAATTTATTATGTAAGTGACAGATGCATATAATCCACCACTCCTTTCACTGAATTTGAGAGAAAATCCCTTTTTCAAGTAGGTATTATTCTCTGTAATGTTGTACTATTCCACTACGAACACTAGAGGGCAGTTACACTCAACCTCCACAGTAACATCAGCTGTTCTATTCAGCTGGAATTATGTACAAAATAATAAAATGTTGTTATTCTCATTATTTACATGTAATGTAAGTCACGTCCCTGAAATCTGTCTCTATATTTAGCTCAAACATGACATACCAGCTGGCTAAAACTTCTATATTTATGTATTTAAACTAATATTAAATGTGTGTGTGATTGTCTGAGAGGGTTGCGCCCTGTTTTGCATCCCTGCTTTTGTGTCCTCACTCTTAAGAGACCGAGTGGATTAACTGACACACGCGACACTTACTCCGACATGAGATATGTGTGAATATGATCCCTTTGACAACCTGTGTGTGTTTCTCTGTTGCTGCCAGACTGAAGGGGGGTTTAATCTCTAATGATGTCTGTGTGCTGCAGTGTGTGCCCGTTCATCTGGATGTGTGAGATATGAGAGTAGCCAAAGGGTTTTTTCTGGATTAGAAGCTCCTAAAATATTCGGGTTGAGGTTTGCAGATGAGTCGCACCACAAAAACAGCTCGACAGTGCTGTGTGTGTGTGTGTGTGTGTGTGTGTGTGTGTGTGTGTGTGTGTGTGTGTGTGTGTGTGTGTGTGTGTGTGTGTGTGTGTGTGTGTGTTGGGGTGTCGAGGTCATGGTCACATATGGGTGTGTGTCTTCTGAAGAGGCTCATAGATCATGAAATGGGAATCATGAAGCCGGGACCTGATCTGACCTTTAGTATGGTACCAAGCTATTGTCAGAGCTAGACCTCCCTCACACAAGTGTGTAGCAGTTAGTTAAAACTAAACCTTTAATCCTTCTACTGCATCGTATTCAGTCTGAAGATTGCACTTTAAGATGCGTTTGTGCATTTGGCATGTGGTGTCAGCGCATGAGAGCTGTTTCGACTGATGAAATGATACAAAAACATGGATTTGCAGTCATTTGCAACTAAACTTATCCATTTGCTGATGTTTAAGTGTCAGAAACTTCAGCAAAGCCGCTTAGATTTTTTTAAAATCGATTGCGCAGACGAGAGAAACCTGTAAGGCTGAAGGGGGGACCAGATGGATCATCTTGAGTCATGTGGAACAATAAAATTGTATTAAATTAGTCAAGAAAGTGTTAAATCATTATAGATAGCTGTAGAAACATTGCATGTGTGTTTCCACGGGTCTTGGATTCTGTTGTCTTGGATTCTGAAGCTAATTGTGTCCTCTAGACTCTAAAGCAAACTGAACTTTCAGGAATTAAGAAAAGCGTTCTTTTCTGAAATGTAAATGAGTTCCCTATAGAGCTGAAGCAATTAGTCTAAATTAATAGGTACAATTAAATATTAAACATGGGATTCAAAAACTTGAGGAAATACAAAACCATTATCAGTTTATTGAAATTCCATCGTCCCGTACTGAATCAACACAATACAGTGACTACGAAAAATACAAGAAAATATGATCCAATTGGTAAAATCCTTTTTTTTTTTTTTTCATAGTTAGGTCAATTTTCTGTGCAAAACATTTTAAAAAGCCTTTGTTGTTCTTTTGTAAGACAAAATGTGCTGAAGGCATTGGTCCATCATAACATGCCGTCTATGCAGTCAAAAATAAAAGTAAACAAATGACTACATGTTCAAAAAGAGTTATTATCCACGTTACATTTAACTGCTGGTGTGAACTTGTAGGCTTTTTCTGTGTGGCATACTATTGGAGGTTTATATCTCATTTGCACCAAAATAACACATAGTCCTAATTCAAACCTTTGCAACACTGCAGCAAGAATATAGTGGAATGGCACTTTCACCACAGGATCATAAAGATTCTCTCCTGAAGCGCTAATCGGAAGATAAAATCAAAACTCCCGCTACTGCACAAGCTTCTCTGTGGCTTTGCACCACAACTGAAACGGTGCTTTATTCTAAGACGTGAACTAGATATGGACTGTGGTTTATGTTGGCGACTTGAGGCGAACGATGTGCGTCTGGACCTCCACGGCCATGTCAGTGACGCTCCTGCTGATCGCCAAAGGCAACACGTTCTCTTCATCCGATGGAGGCTCTAAAACATCAAACTGTGAACGCAGCAGGTCTGCTTTCATGTAGTGTCCCCTCCGGGCCACCATCCTCTGCTGAATAAGATCGTAGTCGCCGTGTAGGAAGAGAAAAAAGACATCGGGAGGGGTTGGAGGCAGGATATTGTGGTCTGGACCGGAGGAGGAGTCCAGGGCTTTGGAGCCATAGAGCAGAATCTGTCTGTACAGGCGTTTCAAAGCGGAGCACGCCACAAGAGCGTCAGAGCGGGAACACCGTCCTCTGGGATGGGAAGACACAAAGTGCAAATAGTTAGCGAGGGCAGAATTAGTAATAACTGCTGAACTGAACACCGTAATGTTGTGTAGACATGAAAAAGGAGAACTCTGTTCACAAACAGCTACAGGGAAGGAGGTGAAGAGAGAAAAGAAGGGATACAGGGATGAGCGGATAAAGGCTGACTGAGTGTGGAAGAGTAGGAAAAGATCCTTTGATGTCGCCGCAGTCGTTTTAAGAGAGCGATGGCATACTTCTCAGCTCTCCTCTACACTCTCGCTCAGTTAATCTGTTTTTACTCTCCCAAGCTCCCTTTCCTCGCCTCAATTTTCAAAACCATCTTTGATAGTTTTGATCTTTTTTTCCACGATTGCATATATCCTTACCTCACTGCTCGGCTCTTCAGCTCTCTCTCACCCTCTAAAACACACACCATCTTCTCCATTTCTGTCATTTCAAAAGTGTGTTGCGTCTGCGATACAAAATGTTCACGTGAGAGTGCGTGTGCATGATAAATAGTCTGCGTGTATGAAAGATCTGTTTGCTTTTACCTCTCAATGACGTCATGTAGTTTGAGAAGCCACGGCAATCTGTCCTGAAGAAAAACAACAACACAACTGTTTTATATTTTGTTATCAACAGCATGTTGTATATTTATTTCATCATTATCTACAGCAGCAGTTGTACTTGTTAAGAAATTTTTTTAATCTTTGTGATGATGTTTTGTTTTTTTTTTTGTTGTTTTTTTTAATTTGTAAGATTTCTGTTTACACATCCAGCATTTGCAGAGCAACATTCATTTGGAGCCGTGTTTATGGCCTTGAATGCAATTCCAATATTCACTCTTCTTTTAGCTCTGTTTTCAGTCTCTACCAACTTCTGATGGAAATATGCGACTCTTGAGCTGCTAAATACTCAACTCTGTTCAGTTGAACTGTATCTGTCTGCCGTGGTGTTGAGTACAGCGTCCTGTCGGTTTGCGGCCGCCAACAACGCTAAGAGCAGCGAGAGCTAAAGCACCGTAAAGCTGAGGGGAGCTGCAGAATCAGCTGTTTATTCTCTGTCGGTTTATCACTACGAGCAACCCCTTTACCGTCGTCATTTGATACGTTGTCAGCACAAAAATAATGATTGTAGCCGCTTTAAAGACGGAAAATAAATCATATTATTTACTCTACGGAAGGAAGCACGAGAAGGCGCTGACTGACGGTTTGAGGACGTCAACACTAATTCTGGCGTTTATCACAGCATTGTCCACCAGAGAAACATCACGGGACAGATTACCAAACATATTTTAAACTATATGAAGACATTGCTCCTCTGAAAAAACATTCAGATATAAAAAACATAAATTAGAAAAAACAAATACTGACGACACAGAAATGCAGCAAAAGCTGTGGAGAAGTGTTTGGAGTGGATCTTACTATTCAAAGTCAGAACTCACCGCCAACATTTTCTGTGTAATGGACTTAAGTCAAAAAGTCTTTAAAAGAACCAATCAGGGAATCAAACCGAGATCAGACAGATGTGGCAGCACTAACGCATCTTTGATTACACAGCAATCAGAAATAGAATCAATCCTAACTTGGTAACAACTGATCTGGAGTAACAAGTATTTCACACTGATGTGCCTTTTAATATGAAGAGCTGAACTCGAATGAGAGGAATCAAATCCTCTCATGTCCCGGTCGGTGATGCCAAGCTCAACCTGCCAACTCTAATACTAGCATGAAAGACACATATTTTTGCTGCAGCCTAACAGTAATCGCACATTTACAATCATTCTCAAACTGCCAACTGTTGAGTATTTTTAAAACATTGGACAGAGCAGGTCCCGGGGTACTTCTACCTGACAATCAAAGCAGATTTCTAAGTGGGAGGTTATCATTAGCCACCGAACACCGCTACCAGCAAACTGCTGCCAAATGTTGGCGGGGGTTGCTCTGCCTGTGTAAGCTTTTAGATTCAACATTGGTAGGCAGCCAGTCAATTGTTTGGAGGTCTACCTTTATTTTGAAGGTCAGCATGGACAGGAAAAAAAGATAAATATTGAACAAAGTGAAGCCTTCTCCGGCCACTTGTTGAGTGAGTTATCTGTGGCTGCGAGTCTGAGACAATGATTTACTAATGACAGAAGAGAAATGGCTCACACTGTAAATGACTGACATTCGATTAGAGCTGACAAGACACACACACACACACACACACACACACACACACACACACACACACACACACCTGTTCTGTGAGTGGTTCACCACGAGCCATCTTCTGAATGTTCCCCTGTGGGTGGAAGTGATCCCCTTCGTACAGGGGCCAGCCCAGCTGATGGGTGCATACAAACACATATATGCAGTTAAGTCATACTGTGTGCAGATACATTATGGAGGTGTGTTTATGCATGGGTCAATTTACCTTTTCTGACAGGAAGGCACCTAAGGCGCTTCTGTATAAGAAAAGGGGGAAGAAATAACAGACACATTTGACACAGCGCAATAACACCTGATCTACTGCTTAAAGCCAACGCTTTACTGACACAGATTTGCTGTAGTTAAGAGCTTAAATCATTTGCGGGTGAACTGATTAATCGGTGAGTGAAAATGAATCAGCAATTATATTGATATTCTACAATGTTATACTGACTTGAATATCTTAGTTTTTTGGATATTTGGCGGATAAAACAAGTAAATTGAGGCCATCACCCTGGGCTTTAGGAAACTATTTCACCCAAAGCATTTACACATCTTTTTTCCCATGTGACTCAATAAACTCAAATATGCTCTTTAGTCAATGGGCTTCTTATGGAGGCTTGTAAGGCTTCCCTACATAGATCAACAGACAGTAGGCTATACATACTTTCCGCAGCCCGAGACTCCCATAATGATGTAGATCATCGTGGGTCTTCACACCCCTGAAGGCAGAACAATCCCTTTATAACTGTTTGCATGAACTTGCAACTCGGCATGGTCGACAAATCTACACATGCGAACATCTCCACCATAGAAACATGGAGCAATAATATAAGCGCACCTGTGATGTAACCTACCGTTAAAATGAACTGGCGGGGCTTCCGTAACGTCAGGTAGTAACAGCCTTTAATTAATACGAAACCCCTGCAAGGGTGTGGCCTACCACTTAGCACATTTCACTAGTATTAAAACAATAACAACTTACATACTGCACGTTACCGATGCAAAACTATTAGGCTCGTTCGACTTAAGCCAGGCGTGCGCAGAATCGATCACCGGCGATCGGCGCACAATGCATGCTGGGTAGATTTGCGTCCGACTTGCTCTGACGTCATGAAAACGTGCGTAACGATGATCTCGCGTGAGCGAGGCGGCCGCAGATTTTAGAGCCAGGCTATGCAGAATTGCTCTCCACCGACTGCATGACCCCAGCGCATGATGGGACTTGCGCTGACGTCATGATCACGTGGGTAACGATAACCTCACGAGAGCGGGGTGGCCGCAGATTTTAGAGCCAGGCGCTGCAGTTGCTCTCCACTGACTGCGTGACCCCAGGGCATGATGGGAAACTTCTTGCTGTCTTCGGATCAAAGAGCTGATTGGCTCTTAGATTTTCTTTATTGTAAAAGGTGGGCAACCGTGACTCACTGGGTTAAGAGGGTGGTGACCACAAGGTTGTTTGTTCGAACCTTGTCCTTTGACGTGTCGCATGTCAAAGACAGCCCACTGCTCCCCATATATAGGGATGGGTCAAATGCAGAGACAAATTTATCCTTAATTAACAGGATAAATATAGTATAAAAAAAATTTAAATCCTAATTTTCTGTCTAATTGTAATACTTAATGCTAGATTGTTGGCTATTAGTCTCATTTTGTGCAATAACAATAATATATAAGGTTATTTATTTAGCATCTGTAAATAAAGATATTTATTGAGAAAGCCTACATCCTACTTGATGTCAACATGTTTTCAGTCAGAGCACTGGAATATGCATCGATTAATGATTGTGAAGCATCACAAAACATATTAAAAGAAAAGCACAATTGTCACTGATGGAAACTTGCAGCGTTGCTTTTCCTCCGTGTGGAGCCTGTTTATGTCGCTGTGATGTTTGGACTGTTGGTTCAGTTTTTAAATTTCTTAAATTTACGGTTGTATGATTTAGAAATGACGCTATCTTTACATATATTTATTTATATAAATGTTTAAATAAATATGACATCCAAAAACTAAAATATGCCCAATCTTATATCCTCAATTATAATAATAACATAGTTAAATATATAAAAAGACATCCAAACTTAAAGACCAGCAATTTTGGGGTTGTCTTGCTCAAGGACACATCGACATGCTCCTAGCGGAGTCAGGGATCGAACCGCCGCTCCTCTGATTGAAGGACGGCCCTGCGCTCCACTTAGCCAAGATCAGTTTTAGACTATGGCTGTGTGGAATATAGGTCGGCATCTAAAACCTTGTTGGGAAAACTGGATGTAATACAAGTGTCAAGAATATGTAGTGGGGTCTTTAAAACAACATCTGTGCTGGCATTGCAGGTAGAAATGGGGGAAATGCCGTTGGAGTTGAGAAGAATCCAGATCATGATGACATATTGGGTCAGTTTACAAGGACATAACAACCATCCAACAATAAGTGCAATTGAGCAATGCTGGGAACATGACAACAGGCCAACAAAGAGCTTTGGTTGGGTTGTTCAGAAGAAGGCTAGTGAATTAGGTTTTAGGAGTTATTCTCCAGCTGTGGTCCAGCTGTTCCTCTTTGGTTACTGCCACAGCCTGGAATTGATCTTGGCCTCCTTGAACTGATGAGAGATGAACGTTGGGGAAACTGTAAGATCTTCAAGTCATACATCAGTTACCACAATTAAATACAGATTTATGGATCTAAAGACCCTAAAACTGGTAGAATAGCAGCAGCAGCAGTAATCCCAGAATTCCATTTGGAGTGTGGGAAGAGACTCAGTGATGATGTATCTGTGTTTACATGTGAGATGATGGCCATATAGTTATTGCCTTACAGTGGGTAGAGGACGTCAGGCCAGAGAGAGTGGTGTGTGCATCAGACTCATGTGCAGTGCTCACGAGTTTGACATGTTGCCACTCCAGAAGCAGAGAGGATTTACTGTTTGAAATTCTACAATCATTTTTAAGAATCCATCAAATGCGGATAGCGGTTCATTTAGTGCGGGTCCATGTTGGAGTCGATGGCAATGAGAAGACAGATAAAGCAGCAAAAAGGGCTTTGAAGAGTGGGAAAAATAACGTTAATGTAAATATAAGTAAGTCAGACAAATGGGGACAAATTAAAAAGATATGTCAGAACGAATGTAATAAAGGGAGTAAAGGAAGATATCTGTTTAAAAATAAACCATTGGTTGGGAGTGCAGGATCTAATGGACGAACTAGAAAAGAGGAGATGCTTATGACAAGACTAAGGAATGGCCATACTGGTCTGAACAGTTCCCTTGATGTTATTAGAAAGCATAATAATGGAAAGTGTAAATTTTGTGGAGAAGAAGAAACCGTGGACCATGTTTTATTGTCCTGTCAGAGGTACGAGTCAGCGAGAGAAGTTTTGAAAAAAGGTCTAAGAGAGATTGGAGAGGAAAGCTTTAGTGACAAATGTTGGAAACTTTTTATGGAATATTTAGAGTCAACAACACTAATGAATAGAATTTGAGAAAGAAATGTATTATTATTAATTTTTTCTATTTTATTATTTTATTTTTTCTACCGCCAAAAAAAGCAAAAGAAAGAAGAAGAAGAAGAAGAAGCAGGCGGCTGAAAACGGTCCGACTTGAACGCAGTTCTTTGTCAACGCCCCTTTCTACGTCCGCCTGCTCTCGTCTGCTTTCCAGGCGAGGCGCAGTTCAACTCGAACGAGCCTAACCTTAAGGTCTACGTCAGGAGGAGCAGGTGAGTAATATATACTACTTCCTGACAGCGGCTCCTTGCTTTGCCAAAGCACGTGAGGACGCAGCAGGCACGCCGGCTACGTTTGCACTTTTAAAGAGACAGCGTCCCGTTCAGTATACGTTGCAGCCATGCAGTCTACGGTTACAGTTGACTTCATCATTGCTGAAAATAAAATATAACCTCACAGTTAAAATGAGGTTTGACTGCAGCTGTGTGCATTTTTTTTAAACACCTTCAATATTTTTTCTCAAAATCAAAAAGTAATTTACCTTTTATATGCTCCTAGCCTAGGAATGTGTACATTTTAAAATGATTTCACCAATAGCATCACTTGTTTTAATTACCCTTAAACGAATATGCGTGGAGCCACACACCGTGAAAATAGTCTTTAAACTTTACGCAAATGTAACCTGATCCGTATCAGGCGATCTAGAAATCCATAAATTTAAATGTCACACATATTTTAGACATGTGTAAGCTTTTCGAAGGGGATTTATCAGATCGGTGAAGTTTAATTTGTGCATTTGCATAACTGTTTTACAAGTGTTCAAATCGCTTTGGTATTAGATTGGAACACGCATTTGTGAATACCAAAAATTATTTTTAATTATTAATATTTGTGTATATGAAATTTTTAATTTGTAGATCATGTAATAAACAACATTTTTGTGTCCATAGTTCATAAAATCCGCGAGTGAATAAATAAATAATCCACAGGGCGGGTGATTTACATTCACCAGATGCCAATCTGACACCACACAGGTGGGATCATAATTATAATGTGTGGAAAGAGACGGACATAGAGACAGGGACCGCAGTGACCTCAGCAGACACTCAGATCTCCGTGGTCAACTCAGCAAACACTTGAATTTTAGTGCACCTATATGCTGAAATTCACGGTAAACGCATTCAAACGGAACAGATCGGGAGCGAGCGAAGGATTTTGCAAAGTTAGCGGAGGGATTAACGTGAGAAAACATCTGGCTTTCAAAATAAGATGTCAACTAAACGTGAAAGATTTATGTGAGACAACATCTGGTTTCCATAATAAGATGTCAATTAAGCGTACATACAAATGTCATTATGTGGAAATAGCATTACATTTATTTTATTTACATTAAGTATAAAACATATTACCTGCATATCGTGAGTTAAAGGGAAAATACAACTAAATTTTGGATGAAGTGTCTTTATTCTTTGATTTGAGGGTTGTTGGGAAAGATAATTAACCTGTGGTGAAATTATTTTGTAACTATTCACCATTTCTTCTAAAATCTAATCTGAAATTAGACAAATTGTCTCATGAATGTGATTTGAAGTTAGCTCATTAATGAGATTTTTAAGGGCTTTATTTTGTTAATGCTACATCAGTATGTCCTTGTTCTCTCTGAGTGACACCTTGAGGTGGTCTGCTATTAACGTGTGGTTAAATTAATTTGTAACGATGGACCATTTCTTTTCAAATCTAATCTGACATTAGAAGGAAGTTGTTTTATGAATGAGATTTCAATAGGCTTTACTTTTTAAATGCTACATCAGAATGTCCTATTATTCTCTGTGCTACACTCTGATGTCTGCTATTATTCTGAATAGAAATTAGCTTGTAACTATAGAACATTTCCTTTTAAATCTAATCTGAAATTATAAGGAAGTTAGCTCATGCATGAGATTTTGAAGAGCTTTAATTTTGAAATGCTACATCAGAATGTACTGACTGTCCTTATGTGGCAATCTGACGTCTACTATTAATCTAAAGTGATATCTTATTTTGAAAACCGGATGTTGTCTCCCGTTAATCTTTCCGCTAACTTTGCAAAATCCTTTGCTCGCTCCCGATCTGTGCCGTTTGAATGCGTTTACCGTTAATTTCAGCATATAGGCGCACTAAAATTTAAGTGTCTGCTGGGTTGACCACGGAGATCCGAGTGTCTGCTAACCTGACCGCAGTAGACAGGAAGGGAGAGAGTTGGAGACACAGAGAGAGAGAGAGAGAGAGAGAGAGAGAGAGATCCACCAGTGGGCAGGCAGGAGACGGGTGCAAGCTCTCCTCCCTCTTGCTCTGTTGCATCCATCCATTCTCTTATTTATCCATCCCTCTTTCCATCCACCCATTAATTCACAAGGGCGTCACAAGGGGTGACAAGACCCGACTGAGAGGCGCATACATGTATGCAATTCGTGCGTATGCCTGAGCCCTCCGTTTATGTATGTTTGTCTACGTATGTGCGTATCTGGTCTGCCCGTGGATCCGCTGACATGAGGAGCTGAAACAGAACCGACAGAAGGATGAAAATGCTCCGGTTTCGCAGCCCAAGCATCCGCTCCTTGGACCAGGAGGTCCTCTGCACGATCCGGTTACTGGACGACACCGAAATCTCCTGCAGCATTCAGGTAGACGAAAGCCTTATCCATCTCATGTATTGCCCTCTTTGATTATTGCAAATGTCACGTGGACGCAGTAAATAAATTCTATGCGTGAATTGAACTACTCTCGCTGTAAGGCGAGAGTAGTTCAATTCAATTTTATTATCACTTATTACGTCGTTTTGAACGGGCATTGTGCCTCTATAGTTTCCATGCTGCTGTGATTTACTGGAGAGGGCGCATGCTGTTTGCTCCATACCTTCTATATGAGGTATGCAGTAGAGAGAAAAAAAAGAAGCCATACCCACAAGTGATCCGTGCATGTGTGTTGATGTGACCCACATGGAGAGAAGTTGGGATGAAGTTTGATTCATCATGGCAGAGAAAATGATGGAGCTGATGGGTGTGGTGGTGATGATAGTGATGATGATGATGATGGGGGCATAGATGACTGCTGTTTGGCATATTTACTGTAATAATCAGTTGTGTGAAGCTATGTGTGTGTGTGTGTGTGTGTGTGTGAGCGATAGAGAAGAGAGGGGGGGGGGGGGTAGACAGTTGAGCTTACTTGTGTGTTTTAACGTCTGTTGTAATGTCGTTTCCGGCCAGCTGGCTTCAAGTGGCCCTGCCTCCTGTATAGCACTCAGCCGATTAGCAACTGCTATTCTTATAAATTCTTGAAAGGTAGACTATTTGGAAACACAGGGTTGTTATTGACAATAATTAACTCTCAACTTCTCAGAAAACAAACTCATCTGTTTCAGAAATCTGAGCCTTAAATTGGAATTATCAGGTTCAAATCGTTTATCAGCCTTTGAGACTGAGACTATACGTGGAACAGAGGACATCTGCAACCCATGTACAATCTATACTTTCTTTCAAAATGAGAGAGGTAGTCACAGTCCTTTACCTTTATTGAATACAGAGGAACCACACCAACAAAAAGGATGATTCTATTCATTACCTGCCTTTTCATTTCTGGCTCAATGTGTCACCCATGACATCATGTCATCAGGATATTAAAAACGTGATATAGTCAGCAGATGGATGAAGGTGTGCCCAATGACTTTACAAGATCATGATCTGCCATCTGCTAAAGTTCTACTCAAGGTGTCTCACTTTGAGCAAAAGAGTTGAGTTGGTACCATCCAGAGCTGCAGCCCTGAACATGTGGTTTTCTGAAAATGTAGCCCGCCTTAGATGGTTGCATTAACTGTCAATCAGTGTTTCTGACCAGATTTGGATTTGTAATGCAGGATAGACTGAAGTCAACAAGGAGCTGATGCACAAACCGCCACCTTAAAACTTCAGCCCAACCATCTAAAACTGACGACATGAAACCTGACAGCAGGCTTTAACTATTCCCATTTGTGTTCTAATATTGAACCTTTTGGGCTGCCTGAACAAAGGAAAACACAAGTTTCCCCGTGTTTCCCCAAACAAATTAGATCCTGTGTGGCTCCTGGGCCCCTCCAGGCCTGAGCTGCAGCTGCTGCCAGAGAGATAAAAGTAAAACCCTGTAAACCTGCCAACATATGACGTATGGTTATAAAGCTCATAGGTGTTCAATAAAGAACAGTGCATAAAAATGTGTGCAACGCTAAACAGCATATTGACACTATGCTATTCTATTAAACTACATTCCGTCTTCGGCATTGCACCAAATTCTTAGCTTGTTGACAACCCAGTGAGTTGAAGAGAGTTGAGAGCGCAGAGAGTGAACGCAGCTCGTCTCATACTGAGCCACCTGCAGAAAAGGTTGTAAGCTGCCTCATGCCCTGTTGTCCGACCCTGAAACACCGAAAACACTCTGTGTGTCGAACTAACTGTCTCGCTGGTCTCCTACATGTAGCCAATCAATGATTTACAAAAAACAATAAAGTGCACCGCGAGAGAAGGAGGGAGAGGCAGCGGCAGCGAGAGGTTGCGTCTTGTTTCTTCGTGTTGCAGCCCTCACATGCCTGTAAACCTGCGTGCTTGTATGTCTCTCAGAGCACAAAAGTGTGTTAAAGTCTGTGTACACGTCTGAGAACATCAGAGTCCTGGCTCTTCACCAAGAGATGCAAGAGATTGTGGAAGTGTGTAGTTCTTTTTAGCCGTGTGTCTGTGTGTGCGTGATAAAGAAGTGGACATTTATGTTTCTAGCTGACTGCCTTTTCCAGGGCTTTCTTTAATGGCTTTGTGTTCCGGTGCTGAGCCGCTCCTTCCTACATATTTCATGACAGCCTGTGCTCCTCATGTTACACTTCTGCTACTCAACAACGTCCCTTCTCCTCTTTCCACTCTGCGGAGACTTCCATCTCTTTACTTTGCTTGTTTTTTTTCACTCTGCGTTATCCCCGTCTGTCTTTCTTATTTTGTCTGGGGCTGCTTCTCTCCACTGTGCTGAATATGTAGGTCAGGATAAAATGCCAAAGACAACACTAGATTGATTTCAATCATAAAGATAATGTGATAAGATTGTTCTTTAAGTGTGCATGTGAACAAAGAAGTCAGAACTTATTAGTTTGCTTGAAGTGAGTTGTCGATGCCCTTGTTTCCTTTATCTTTCCTCTCTAAGGCATCAGGAGAGAGGTCTCCGTGGGGGAATGGCTCTGCATGGATTAAATGAAGACTTTAAAATATCTTGAAAAGAAACAAACAATAAGTGTGAATATTTTTAAGGCAAGAAACTATGCCATTTTGCCTAAAAAATGAATGAAGATTTATGGCCAGAATGGTCACTCATGTCTCATTACTGCAATGTAGAAAAATAATGCAAAATTAGAACATGCCATGCAAATCTTCTCCAGCACACTGTGCTTTACCGTCCAAACGTTACCGTGACATAATCAGGGTGATCTGTGGCTGTTTCCTTTTATGCAATTCATCACTGAGAAATTGCCAGAGATACCAACTATACAGAACAACATTATCAACATCCTTTATCTACACATATCATTACTCTTAGTTGAAACAAAAACGGCAAGAGAAAAATTAATTATAAACACAGAACATAACATTAGAATCATCTTTACAGAATATCTTGTCGCAAATATAGTCTTTTAACGCGGAAATATTAAATATCGGTTTTCAAACAAGTTTTGTATTCTTTCATGTCAACCTCATTTTTCAAACCAATTTTTCCAAAAGACTTAAAGAAGCAATAGGAAAAATGATTTTAAAAGTAAAGTATGATGATGCTGAACACATATTGCACATATGTGTGCATCAGGGAGAGCTGGATGTGTTTTCACTATCAATAAACAGACGTTGAGATGCATATCTTTGTTTTTGAAAATATTTCATGTTCTGGGTCTCGACACACGGCGACAGCCTACAGCAGGCGGAGCATAATTATTTTTAAGTTGTTTACTGTGACTCTGAGAATAGCTTGACAGCAGAATATAAGGCAGGTAGAAAGGACGTGTGTGTGTGTGTGTGTGTATGTGTGTCTACAGCCTGCGGGGTTGAACGTGTCCAGCCTGCTGCTCTCATGTTCAGAGGTAATGCTAAATCAGACCTGCTGCAGGAGAGACAAGTCAAGATCAATACAGTACCCTCCTCTACTTTCAGCTCCTCCACCCTTCATCATCCATTCCTTTTCTCTTCATCCTCCCATCTGTCCTTCTCATTTGTCCCTCTCTTGTGCTCCCTATCCTGCTCTGCCCCCCCTACTTATTCTCTGCTCCACTTTCAGCTTCGTATTTACCACCTTTTTCTCACTTTCTATTTTTACATCTCTCATCTATATCCCCCCCTCTCTCTGTCTATCTCATTGCACCCTCCTCCTTCCCTTCTCTGTGACACATCATGTATAATTAAGGGAGATCACTGTTCTTCATGAGGCCAACATCAGTCAGCTGTCAGCGATGCGCCACACCACGAGTGTGTGTGTGCGCGCCTATATGTGTGTGTCAGTGTGTTCTGAGGGTGGGTTTAACCATGGCTCACTTCAATGATTTAAAAGTAGCCACTGAGCCAAAGTTCTGCCATTACGGGCATTAAATTTCCATACTGAGCAAGAAATGACTGCTTGGTAATATAGCTTGCGTTAACTTGAACTTTTGAAAGCTTGAAATATATTTTGCTGATTGCTCTGTTTCCAGTGGAAGTCTCCTCATCGATATATTGCAGTCTATTTAAAGGAGCATATGGATGTTTTTCACTGCATCTGCCTTTTACTTGGTCAAGAAGGTGTTTGTGTGTGTGTGTGTGTGTGTGTGTGTGTGTGTGTGTGTGTGTGTGTAGCTGAGGTGGTGTCGACCTTTTATTTACTTGCTTTTTTGTTGCTGTGTGTGTCTGTTAGTGATTCTGAGGCAGTGCTTTTGTTTTGGCTGGTAGGCATTCTTTGAAACAGGTTATAAATAGCATCAGTTTTTCTATTCTTACTCCGCTTGCTGGGGCCTCTTTGATGCTCCTCCGAAGATGACTAAAGAGAAATAATCCTTTTTCTGACTTGTGCTCGCCACTGAGAGGAGGCAGAGAGAGATGAGAAGGCGGGAAAGATGAGGAGGGAGAAACATCAAAAGAAATGGATGAGGGGGAACGAGAGAGAGATGGTTGATGAGACAAAATATCCGATGACATGGTTGGTCACATTACATGAGCTGAGAGGATGATGGCAGCAAATCAACAGGGTGTAGGAAGGAGTAGGAGAGGAAACGAGGTGGAGCGGCAGAGGGAAAAACAGATTACTGTAATCAGATTAAAACATGAAACAGATTTGAAACGAGACTGGCAGACGGGGCAGATTTTGAAAATCGAGGACAAGCCGTAGAGAAAGAGGAAAGGGTTAACCAGAAAAGAGGGAAAGTGTAAAAACGGGCCAAATGTTGATAGAAAATAATCTACAAAGAGGTGGAAATAGTCAAAGAATGAACATCAGAGAAGAGAAAGTAAGAGGTCAGAGGTCACACGGTGCTGGTTGATATTCATTGTCTTGCTCAAGGGAACTTCGGCATCACTCCTCACTCATTGTCACCATGCTGGGTGATAACCATTGCACACATTTTTAGAATAAGATATTTTCAGGCAAAATGCACAAA